ATCTACACGTATAAGGCAACCCTAATTCAGAACCCATCATCATTATTCAAAACAATAGAAAAACTAATTACCACCTTTATATGAAAAGATAGGAACACCCAGATAAGAAAAACTCTACTGAAGAAAGACAACAAAGTAGGAGACCTTATACTTGATCCTAAAATCTACTGTAGAACCACAATAATCAAAACAATCAAGTACTGGTACAATGTCCGAGACATGGATTAATGGAATAGCTCAAGGGCACTTAACAACAACAGCAGTCCTCAGTATAGGAGCTCTGGTGGCCTAGTGGCAAGAAGCTGTGCTGCAACTCTGAAGGCACGCAGTTTGAGGCCACCAACTGCTCCATAGGAGAAAGACGGGCAATCTCCTCCTGTGCTATTAACTGCCTCTTAAAACCCACGGGAGGGCCATCTATGGGTTGCTTCTGATTCTGTGTATGGTACACAACAACAACATCCCACAGTGTAGTAGCTCTGGTGGCTTAGTGAGGGCTGCCAACCCTAAGGGAGGTGGTTCAAAGACACCAACTGCTCCTCAAGGGAAAGATGAGTAATCTCCTTGTGTGCGATCTCTAGCCTCTGAAAATCAGTTGGCGGGTGAGTTATGAGTCAGAGCCCACTCAATCACACATAACAACAATAACAATAATCCACAGTATACATAACTTATCAAATATAACAATAATGTACAACCAGAAGAGGATGAACTAGATGAATGGGGCCTTGTAAAAATTAAATCCTGTATACATAAATTTTTTTCCCCTAACAATTAAAAGAGAACCTATAGACTGGGATCAAATGTTTGACAATGACATATCTGACAAAGGATATTTTTTACTCTTATTTAAAATCTATAGACAACTCCAGTACCTCAACAAGATAAAGGTAAGCAGAGGGGATTAAAATACCTTGTCAAAGAAGACATTTGGATGGCCTATAAATACATGAAGAAATGATTAAGATTGCTAGATATTGTTGTTGTGCCGTCAAGTCTCTTGCGACTATTATCGACATACAGGAGCTCTGAACCCTGCTCTATCTTGAGCCAATATTGTCGTCTCTGACACACCTGCTACCATTACCCCAGTCACTGAGTCAAGCCGTCTCACCCAGGATCTTCCTCTCTTGTGATGTTCCTCTACCCTTCCAAGCTGGATGTCCTTCTCCAAGGACTGGCCCTTTCCTTGCAACCTGCCCAAAGTATGTCAGATGAAGCTTTAAAATTCTTGTCTCCAAGGAGTAGTCTGGTTTTGCCCTCTCTAGGACAGAACCTGTTTGTTCTCTTAGCAGTCCTTGATATATTCAATATTCTTCTCCAGCACCACAACTCAAAGACATAGGTTCTTTTCTTTTTATTTCAAGACATTGATTCTATCCCCATCCCCCCCATCAGCATTAGTCATTGCCCAGCTCTCTGAGGTGTAGCAAAGACCATGGCTTGGATCAAGTGCATCTTCTCTCTAGTCTGATAGATATTATTGCTCTCTGGTACTTTAGAGTGGTTCCTGAAAGTGGATTTTCCCCAATGCAATTTGTCTTTTGATTTCCTGGCTGCTGGTACCAAATGTGTCGACTGTGGAACCAAGAAAGCTGACGTTGTTAACAATTGTTATTGATTGACGTCGAATTGAGCACTACTCATAGAGACGCTGTGAACAGAAGACCTGGAGCCTTTCTAGAACTGTAGTCATTTATCAGAGTTCATAGAGTTTCCAGAGGCATGTTGTTTAGGAAGTGGATGCCACTCCCACTTCCAAAATTAGAGAGGTGCAAATAAATACAGCATCTCACGCCAGGAACAGTAACAGAGTTCAGTAAGTCAATGAACAATACCTGCTGGTAAGGATCTGGAGACATTGAAACTTACACATTGTGGGCATAGTTCAATGATGATTACGTTTATAAAACCACAATGAATGGGAATAATTGTATGAAACACAATGTGAAACACATTGTATATGGACTTTGCGAGCAAACCAATACAAAATAATATTTTAAAAATGAAATTTAAAAACATAAAAAAGGAATCATTTCCTATTTCAAGTTCTACCATGTGAAGCATTCAAGAAGGCCCAATTGCTGGTCTTAATTAATGAGAAAACGAGTCATGGTTTTTCTTACATAATATGGGCTTTTGAAAGTCCATAGCACCGAGGACACTGAAGGAAAAGGAGATATCTACTACTACTACT